CCTGACTATAATCAAGAGGTCAACGTTTTTCAACTTCTACTAATTCGCGATATACCATGACCATCTTTCAATATCATCAGTGGAAGCCTGTTCTCACTCTCTACATGGTTGACCATACACATCATTATTTCTCGTTAAACATTCGCGATATCGATGTTCAAGCAAGTATATGATTGAAAGTACCAAAACAATGAACACTGAACTACTACGCTACTGACAAGTGACGAGTAGGTGACAATTAACCAACCAATCAAATTTCAGCTTCACTTCACAATGACGATAAATGATAAAATGATAGGGCTGATTTTAAGTACAACTGTTACTCGTATTTGACTTGCAACGCCACACATGATCAATAAATAGATGAAATCTTTCATAAACATAGATATTTTGCCATTCAGGTGTCATTAACAATGCAGTTTCTTCACTGACAGTGAATGGATGATGAAAATTTACCAGGAGAACCAATAGGATCGAAAATAGAATTCATAAATTTTTCTCTAAATAGTATCACCACAAGAAAAGAATTAGCATACTGAGGCTTTCATAAACGTAACCTGTCGGTCAAAGACTTAAGAAGCTTGAAATTCCTGGCTGGTGTTTACCAGACGTCAAAAATAAATGGCTAGTAACTTCAAACAAGGAGGATACGCTATTCGACCGATGAAAAGACCCCATAAGAATATTTGCATTTCGATGGTGATTATTTATGTCTAATGTCATACAAACTTGAGGATCTACAGGCGAAAACTAACAAGTTGTCAGAAGAGGTGGGGCAGCGAAGACGGGACTTCAAGTGAAGTGAGTGTAGAGAAGACAGAGGTGATGAGGATACCCAACCAACACCAACACCACCACCACACCAACCAACAACAACAACAACAGGCTGTAATCACCATGAGTGGGAGAAATCTGAAGGAAGTATCCTCTTTCACCTACCTTCCTAGGCAGCATCGTTTCAACTACAGGGTGTCAAAGCCAGGATTGAAAAGGCAACACAGGCCTTAATCAATCTAAAATCAGTGTGGAGATCTACTGCACTGCACTCCACAGCACTCCACTGCACTCAGCATGAAGCGTGAACAACATCCAGATTTTCAACACAAATCTCAGTCAAGTAACTCAGTGCTTCTATGTGATGGTTGAGAGATTTGGTGTGTTACGGAAGGGATTTCCAACAATCTACACATATTCATCAACAACTGCCTACACTGGCTCCTTACTGAAGCTCCGATGACCAGAATACTAAGAATAAGCAACAAGGAACTCTGGCTGGACAGCCAACCAACCAGCCAAGCAACCAACCAGGAAGCTATTGCTCAACAAGTATGCAGTAGGAGGAAGTGGAGATGGATGGTATTGGGCATGCAGTGATAAGACCGACTGTGGACATCACGCGTCAGGCCAGCTACTCGAGTGTAACCCAGATGGGAAACGACGAGTTGGGTGTGCGAGGCTAGTGTGACATGGAGTAGATCGTGTGAGGAAGAAATGAGGGTTTCTGGGCTATCGTGTAGCCATGTTTTGAAGACTTTAGAGAACAGAGTGAGGTGGAGACGTGTTACTGAATCCGTATGTTCCACTAGGAACCCAAAGGACAAATAATAAATAGTAATATAATTTCAAACAATATGATTTGCAATCAACCCAGCAGTTACAGTTGCAGTCAAGAGTGATCTTTACCCTAACTTACTATAATCTTTTTATTGACTGAATGCTGCTTCATATACTGACTTGCTGACATGGTTGACTGGACTCCATTGTATCTATGTTTGTCAATTTGTCTCTGAAACTGTACTGAATTAATATGTACCAACATTGTTTGAAGCATAGTTTTGCCAGCTCTTACAAACACCTGTGAAATATACTACCTAGATGCAATCCTAACCATTATAGTAGTAATATTCTGGTCTGAAACACAAACTTTAGATGAGAATTTCTTAAGTCTTACCTACCTACCTACCTACCTACCTACCTACCTACCTACCTACCTACCTACCTACCTACCTTCCTACCTACCTACCTACCTACCTACCTACCTACCTACCTACCTACCTACCTACCTACCTACCTACCTACCTACCTACCTACCTACCTACCTACCTACCTACCTACAAGCATAAATGCATACATACATTCATACCAGCAGATACGCACACATAGACATACATAACGGCAGATATAGGTTTCATCAAGCCAACTACATACATTCTCAATTTTGATAAGCAAAGCGAAGAAATTATGTATTCATCATTCAGGGACCGATAAGTTATTTTGTGGTATATATTTAAAAGGATCTACCGAGTACAACGTTTCACATGTCAGAACATCTGTCCACTCTATCTAGCACTACTATAGATTATCAAATATCAGATCTTATGATCTTGGCGTTTTTTTATTCAGTCTTTCTACTTCCTTTAGGTGATAAAAACGAAAGCACTGTTGGAATAAACATACGTTCAAAGATTTGTGTTTTTCTGGTGTGAAATAAACAACTAAACCGGTGTTTTTGTAATTGTAGCTAGGTTTTGTTGAAACCATTTATCTTCTCCATGTGCAATGTGATTAGGGAACACAGATACAGACACATGCAGATGCTAGAATCTTTTCAGCAAACACCCCTTGAATGAATAAATTATTCAAAGTTAAATCTAAGCTGATGTAGATATTCAAAGAATATTCCGTTTAAGTCTATGAAACAAGAAGCAGGAGAGTAAAGACAATTTTGTTTCCTTCAACCAACTACTTCCTATGATCTACCGGTGTGTTGGTTAGTTGTCAAGGCTTATTTGCATATCTGTATGCCTAGATGAACCCACCTGTGTTACGTAATCAACACAAGTATAGTGACAATTTTGTCACTTTTATGCTTCAGGTTGGTAAGCAGGCCTAATTTATGCTCTCAAGTGATAACAAGATCTGTACGTGAAACAACACTGGAAAACATGGAATTTTGTTACAGCTGACTGCGACAACATATCATTTCTTTCACCTTTGTAATTCAAAACAAAAGCTTAAAATTGCCTTGACTTGTTTCTTCCTGCAGCACTGTGATTTTAATTCTAAATTCTTTCTATGGATTGTAAATAAGTTGACTAATAATATTGATTTATATGAAACTCGGGGTATAAACTAACAGGTGTGAATACAACCAGATACAAAAATTACTTCCCAATTTGTCTCTGCACAGAATCATTGAATCAATATTCTGGGAGCTGCTGACAAGGATATCGGGAAGCGGATGAAGTTGGGGACACTTTAGAAATGCAAGAAAACATGATAAGTTAGGCGGATGCTAGTGAAAGTCAACGGAGTTGCTCTAGATGAGAAAATGAAAACGGGGTAACACAGATGTGAATAATCGGTTTTGAATTTGAATAGTATGAGGAAGGGAGGTGTTCACGATGAGTTCCACCCAGAATTTCTGGAGAGTTGAATGTTGAGGAGGATGAATGATGGAGACTACAATTAACACAACTCAAATATCTGAATTGAGTCATTCTGTTTCAACAGAATGTTGCCACATAACCATCTATGGAACACAAGACAATGATTGAGTCTGTTAATCGTCGATGCATTGGAATGTAATTCAACTGTGAATCATGAAGTCTTCTTCACCTTCTTCTGGTTTTTGAGTGTTGGAATTCACGTTAGCAATGGTATGAGTTAATTCATCGAAACTTCTTCCGATGGATAGATATTAAGTAGGTGGCTGAACATCGCCCCATCTGTGTATGACTTATTCCAAAACTGGTTAATCCGCGTAGGTTGCCACCTTTGAAGAAGAAGCAAAGGAAGGCGACATCCCCCCTGCCAGTGCTATACTTTGTGTCACGCGTGGCGTCTCTTAACAACAAAGAAGTCTTGTAGAAGATGCCATTGTTTGTAACCCATGTGTTCCCACTGCATACATTTCGTGACCTCATTGTAACTAGTCTGAAATCTTAGTATGTATCTTACATCTCCTTGTTCGCAATCCACAACATACATTTTACATACTGGGTGATGAGTGAAGGTGAAATGAAAATCTGGACCACGGCCAAGTTCCAACTATCGACCATCGGGGCCCGATACTTGGTGCTTCGAGATCCGACTGCTGGCCAGATTTTTATTTCACTCCAACCACTGTTATCTCAGATAGTCGAAATGATAATCAATATGATGCTTCCCCTTTCTGATTCAGTTAGATTTGTATTTTGATGAGAAGTCCTGATTAGGCAGCCAGTGTGAATGCAATCAACCGATAGTAAAGCGTTACTAATTCACATAGTAGTTGGGCGAAACCTTTAGTGATTAAAGTGGATTAAAAATCAGGTCAGTAGGTAGAGCACCCTGTGCAGGAAACCCGATGGTCGAAGGTTCGAATCCTGCCGCTATCCGAATTTCCATTTCACCTTCAATAATCACCCAGTATCAATACTAGCCTGTCAAACCACGTCTGTCTCACATAGTCAAAATAATACGCATATTACAGCCTGAAGCCAAAGCTCCTGAAATCCATAAAATACCGAAACAGTATTACTTAAATAACAGGCACCTAATCTTTATTTCAAATAAGGTACTCTTTTCTTCAAAAAGCCGTTTCTGAGGTGAGAAGAAAAAGAGTACTGTCAACGTAGAAAGGTGTGATTATGCTTCATGGCCGACTGGGAGCTGTAAAAGTCACAAGTCTGAGTCCCACATATGATATCACTTGATAAACCTATCTTCTACGCACCATCAGACTGAAATGTTACTCTAAACTATGCTTAATTATAACGAGTACTAAGTATCAGCTGTTGGTAAAATCTACATACCTCTTTGGCTATTGACAAGGTTGACCCAGATCTCTTATCAGCAAATGTCTTCTTTTGCACTTAAATGGCTTTTGTGTTAAAACGCTGCCTAATAATTGGTTTGTAATATGCAGTACCTACAGTAAGTAGTCAGTGGTAGACTTCAATGAAAACTAAATGTTATCTGACCTTCGAGTCCATATGATTTTTAGCACTTTACAGAAAATGTATGATTCACAATCTGATTTCAAAATATTATCTATCCCAATGTCTATACATTACACTACTCGTGTCTTTTCGAATATCTTCAGTAAAGGACAAATAGATCTAAGGTCTTTAATCCATACTTTAAGATATTTCTTGTATCCTTTATAAAAAATCGATAAATTCAAATTTTGAAATCTATCAGTATATAAATATTCATGATAAGGCTTATTGAGTAAGTAGTACATTCGTTGTACACTTATTCCCCATTGCATACAGGTAAGTTTTATGTATGTTTCTGCTGTAACGATGACTTCCATCAGTTTTCCTTCTCATCTAGTATTTTTTTGTCGACAACTGTCCATCCAGTGTGGAAAAAGAAACGATAGTAACAATGTGAAATGGTTCAGTGAACTCATTTAAAGTCTTATCAACAGTATTATTATACTTATAATAATACCACTTATTATTACTGTTTATAAAAGTACAACAACTATGACTGCATGCTTGAATAACTCATCTACTAAGAAAGAAAAAAAAGCATGGTGAATTTCTGATTTTTATGTATGGAACTGGTGATTTCACACCCGCCTCCGCACATAGACACACACACACACCCAAGAGGCGATTGTATAAGCTACTGTGTTCGTCACTTGAAAAACTCTATGTGAATAGGAAGATAATAGTAGGATAAGTTATCTGGGTAATAAGTAATGAAGACAAGTGTATTGTCCTAATTTGAGGTGAATAAATTCGAAATTGGTTACTTGCTCTCCAGTGACCAATCAGTGTATGTAATCCAGTGATACAGCAGGTGAACTGCAGCCTGAATAGCTTGATGGTAACGTGTCTGGTCGAAACACTGGATGATGTGAGTTAGGATCTCTCAGGGAGTATCACTTATATCAAAGTCGCGGATACGCCTTGCTGATGTGGGCCAACAAGCAGGAAACCTAGGTGAAACACGGCTTCTTACCGATTGCCACAAGCTAACTAATAAAATTCAAAATTTCTTGTAAGTGTGGTGATTTTTTTGTCACTGTGTATCAACTGGGCAGCTGCTGGTCATCTGTGGGTACAGGAAAGAAATTTCTTTTAATATTGGAGCTTATCAGTTAGTAGGACTAGTGTGAGAATGATGAAGTTTTCTTGCATTTCAACCGACTGAACAGAAATCAAAGAATGTTCAGTATGTGGTTCGCATTCGCCAAGTACGAGACAACTTTTCAGGTCTGCTCTGACCCTTAATTTCAAGGTACAGATTAAAGTGGTAGAATGCTCTGAACACTTCAAATACTTGGAGAAATGCATCAGCTTCAGTGGGATGATTGTCGATGACATTTCCTCTCGGATAAGCAAAGCTTAGTTATCATCTGGTAATTTATGCAATCCTTAGCATCTGTGAGATGCACGATAGCATGTTGAATGAAAAGTCTAGTGCTCTGAAGTCCTTCCTTTCTTATTTTATGGCTGTGAAACATAGTCGCTAGAAGTGAACAGTCTACCGGTTTTTGACAACAGGTGTCTTTATAGCATTGGAGGAATATGTGAAGTTTTAAATCCTAACTGACTGAGGTAGCCTCGATATGTGTTGCACGTATCAAGCCACTACTTACCTTGACATGCAATGCTAACGAAAGTAGGATTAAGTTGGAAGAAAGCAGAATTAGGCCATAGTAAGATGTGGTACCAGTCCATCAAGTTTCCGATTATTCGTCTCAGGTGTTTAGAAGTGTGCTGTCTGCCTGCTTGGCATTCTCGTGATAACAGGAATCATTGGTTTGAAATCTTTGTCAATATGACTGAAAATCGGTCACAATGGCCTAGATGTATTCAGTCTCTGACATCTTATAAAATCTTGGATATTTTCACCATTGGTTATCACTTTGTTTTCTCTTCTCTCATACACTTTTCGATTACTTTCACATCCTTTGCTTTCTGTACACTTCTTGTTTATATGCTTACGTGTTGTTTGGCAACATGAACTAATGTACTGCTATGCCAAGTTTTACGTTGATCTATCTGTTCGTCAGTCTTTGATTAGGTTTGAATGAGGTGTTTCGAAGGGTAAGTGTGTGTACAACATAATCTCTGTGCACTTCATCAAAGTCTTCGTAAAATTCATCTGTTTGATTTCTTTGCTTCACCGATAGGTTGTGTGAACGTCAGATGATCATTCCATTTGCTTCCGGTCAGTGATTATTATTAAATATTTAAGGTTATTGTTTGCTGTTGGAAACAGAAATGCAATAGTAATCAGTAATTGGTTTAATACTATAAGGAAATTAGCGACAGGGTAGCTTTTTTTATTTACAATGAGTGTGTCTGTGTGCATGCGTCCTCGTGCGTCCAATAACACATGAAATCACACGAAAATCTTACTAGTCACGAAATATAGAACCTATAAATTATTCTACAGGTTTTACCTACGTGTAATCTTTGTTCCAGTTGCACTTTCAACCACATACCCAAATGCCACTTTTTGGAAGCATTTGACAAGATTTCACCCCTTAAAATTGACTTTTTTCAATTGACGATAAATACAAAATTATTAATCAGCGCTTCTGAAGTCGAGTAGAAGAGGTCAATAAGTTTAACAGGTGGATGTATGCTCAAATTATGGAAGCAGAAAGAGGGCAAGTTCAACTAGACAATATGTTATTCTGAGTTCCCACTGTAAACCAGTAGTTCTGTTACTCATGAATTCAATAAACATTAGTAGGAAGAGATGAAAAGTCTTTCATGAAAAGTCTTTATGATTAAACTCACGCATCACAACACCTTATTGGTACACGAAGTACAATGTAAGTAGTTGAGATCCATGATAATAATAATAATAATAATAATAATAATAATAATAATAATAATAATAATAATAATAATAATAGTCCTTGATTCTACAACTTTCTCCTTTGTTGGTTGAACTAAATTGATCGGCCACCATTGGCATATGGGCTCCTGCTTGGATCCCTCAATATTGCCGGCGTTTTCCAATCTCGATATTACTGAGGGATAACGGGCAGTGGTGAAATCCAGGACGCACATCTCGCCTTATTTAAAAGTCGTCAGCTGAATGTACCTGCCACTTTGCAAGGGACGTTGTTCTCACTAGGACTCGAACTCAGGAACAATCGCTCAAAACACTTTTTACAAGGAGTGGCTATCACGACTCAGCAGCTTGGTGGATAACACTCTGGCGTTTGAGGTGACTGATCCTGGGCTTGAGTCTTAGTAAGAGCAACATTACTCACTAGGAGGCAGGTATATCCGGCTGAAGAGTCCCAAATGGTACAAAGCGAGCATCCTCGATTCCACTGCCAGCCACTGTCAACCAATAATAATAATATTAATAATAGTTTCAGTGACGTGAAAGTTACCGTTAGATATTCAACACAACTGTTATTTGAGTAAACGTGTGTTCTCAATAACTTCTTCAGAGACCCTACAATTGCACATCTTAGAATCTCATCATAAAATACCCAGTATGCGGCATGAAGAATAAAATCATTAATGAGACAACAAATATAGTGATTCGACGGAGCGGAAAACAGTTGAATATGAAATGAAACAATGACCAGTTCACATTAATTGATCCCTGAAGAGCAACCAATCCGATACTGTATAGTCTCAGAGCAAACAGAGTTCTGTCGATCATTTTGTAGTGTGCCCACCAAGCTAGGAGGCTCCCCATCGCGGCGCAGTTGAATAGATGCTATTCGGCTGCGGGTAATCGGCAGGAAGTCCTGTTCAACCTAGATTTCCTACTTGCTGGTATTCATCAGCAAAGCGTGTCTGCAACCTTGAAGGAAGTGATTTCCCTCTTAGATTCAAACATACGCCACCCGGTGTTGCAGTAGGTGACGTTACCATTGACCTATTGGGGCTTCAGTCGAACTCCTCCCCCCCCCCCAAAAAAAAATAATTAACAATGATCAGTTTAAGATTAAATAATGTTAATGCATGGGTTGAGCATGACTAATAGAGGCGACAACAGAAACAAACACAGTGCAACGATAATAATAAAATCATCTTGCCTACCTGAGACAGCCATGGTTTGGCAGACGAATGTTGATACTGGGTGATGATTGAAGGTGAAATGAAAATTTGGACAGCAGCCGGATTCTAACCAGTAAACACCAGCTTTGAGTCCGGCTGCGGTCTGAATTTTCACTTCACCTTCAATCATTACCCAGTAATAATAATATGATCGATATATTGTGCTACTGTACTGTTTAAGTGGTACAAGGAGAAAGAGACAGAAAGAGAGAGGGAGGGTGAGAGACGAAAAAGGTTGATAATTAGCCTGCTAAATGATTAAATGTGCGTTAGCCACTATACAAGCCGAGAGTAGACAGAAAAATTGGAGGTTTATACCGCCAAACACATAGATACAGGTTTTACTGGCTAGTCTTCTCCTGGTTACCGGCCTGAGCGATCGACGTAGCCTTATACTTTTTGACAGATCACATTATATTCATTCATAAAATGCAAAAGAATGGTGATAATAATAATAATAATGATCCACTTTGTAACCACTTTCTTAAGCCACGCCAGTGCATTCTCACTGATGTGTAACGCTGAATTCCTTCAACAGCATTCGCTTCCATCGATGAGTCGTCTTTACCATCTCAATGCTAACTTTTTAAAATTAATTTTATGTTAACAATCCTAAACTAGTTACCTTACAGCCTGAGAAGAGGTGAATGCGAACACGCTTTTGTTGAAGTAGTTCTCTCAATAATAAGTATTATTATCATTATGATTTATCTGCATATAATAAAAAAATTACATTTGCAACGCTGTCGATTCCCAGATATCATCAGGTCGATATGATTTCCACTATCGTAGTATTTGCGTCATAAAAAATGATCGTAAACAGTGATAGAAATTTTATCTCCACTCCTCAGTTGTTACAGTCACTACATGAATATTTTTTTAAAAGGATAATTTTATGTTTAATGGCATCAATATTGTCTGAATTTGTTTTATCAAGAAAAATAGCCGAAAAAAAACATGCAACAATAAGTGCCACATGCGAAAAATAGTTGCTTTACTCAAATGAAAATCTGAGAGGTGTTTGTAACATATTTCATCATAAATTTCAGTGGGCGAAGTATTTTACTATATTGGAAAAGTGCTAAAACGTGTGAAATAGGCAATTAATTTGCATGTATACATGTAAGTGAATTTTGGCGGTAACTATATATATATCTGAATTAGCGGCGACGGCGATATAATTCATAGTACACGGATCAATATTGAAGAAGAACTTATCACTA